GGCGGTGATGATCACCGGTTATTTATGGTTTACTAGCAATTACCCGACAATCACTTCCGCGACGACTATTTTCCCGACAACCATTTCACCGACAATCATTTCCTTGGCATGAACATTTCCCAACAATCACGTCATGTTGGGAAATGGATATGTCGGGGAAATGGTTGTCGAGGAAATGGTTGTCGGGAAAATGGTTATGTCGGGGAAATATTTGTTGGGAAAATAGTTGTCGAGGAAGTAAATGTTGGCGTTATTTGTAGTTAATATATAAATATTATATAATTTATAATAAACCCAAATTTAAAATACTCAAATACAATAAACTAAATTTAAAAATTTATTTATATAGTATATAGTAATAAATTAAAATTTAAAAGTATTTATTCCATGCAGGGATGATTAAAACTAAATTCTGCGTATGGTTAAGACAAAATCTGACCAAATGCGTATTTTTTACTAAATACTGTACAGTTCTGTAATCCATTATGCGATTTGTGTGATTTCTGTAATTTAATTAGAGATTGAAGCTGATCAAAAAACTTTTTTTTTTTTTGACTGGTCAAAGCTTATGTTTTATAAATTTTGATCGGTCAAAAGATCGGTTAAAATCATGTAATAATAAACCAATCAAATTGTAAAATTCACATAAAGAAGCAACATTATCAAATTTTAGTGATATAAAGTTAAAATTTCTAACCCACTCGGAATGTATAAAGTTTAACCGAGTTTAACTATCCATAAATTTATGAGTGATTAATTGGATACTGGTCGGTTAATCAGTCAACGATTGAACGGTTCCAATCTATAGATTTAATGTGATTATGAATAAAAATTTATTTTCCAAAACATATAATTCTGTAACTTCCCAATGAAAGCACTGATTTAATGTCTACCTTTCCGAAGTTTTTCGGCGCCGGCATGAATTTACGGTCAAATTCTGTGATATTTTAAAATTGTGATATTATGTGCACTTTTAAGAGAAATTCTGCATTTTTCTGTACCTGACCCTATGACTTACACGAGTGATGTCAAGCAGAATCTTGTAATGTTTTAATGCATTAATGCATTTTATAAGTTTTATCATCCAAATTTTATTTCTATAGATCTATTTAATACAAATAGCATCATCAGAAATTAAATCCTGTAAGATTTAAAATAATTAAATGCATAAGAACTTTACATGCTGGTTTTCATTGGCGTCACTCATAATTTCTATATTCATATTTAAAATGATATCTTTATTATAGTCGGTACATCATGTTGCTGTATATCTACTAAATAACTAACAAATATAGTTATTATAAACTGGAATAATTCTTTTGCTATAAATACTTTCTTACTTCAAACGTATTTAATTGCTAGTTTAAATAGTATTAATTGGTGTATTTAAAGTAGTTTCAAGTTTATAATCTTTACACGAAGTATCTAATTTTGAGTTCCTTATATTCACGTAAATTCAGTGTGATAAAATTATTGATCAATGCATTTATAATAATTGGCTATTCAAGCTTGTAATATTTATCTTTACATAATATCTTTTATTTAAGTACGTAAGTTTAATTCGTGTAAATATTATGTGTGAAAAATGAAGATCATTTATCAATTGATGTATTCAATAATTTGTTAAAGTCACAAATCATAGTTTAGAAAATAATGCAGTAATGTACGTATGTAACACACATTTTAATGTTTATTGCTGTACTGTCGTCATTAAATTTAATTAAGGTATCTGCGCAATATAATCATTAGTAACTATGTTTCGTTTCACTGAGTTCCCGATACAGTCACAATGCATATAAAATTTAAGACGTTCAGAAGAATAATGAATGTCCTAGCTTACAGGTTATAACACAGCACTAGGCCTTTGCATAGATTTTGTCTTCTACCAGATTTTACTTTCGTCAGGGGTTTCATCTTTCAGGAGATTAGGTTTCGTCTTTCATCATTTTATACATACAAATAGTTTCATCTAACAAATCTACTACCAAGCCTACTCATCAACAGTAGCAAAGGTTATTAGTAATAAAAATCAGGTGTATATTTATGAATGAATTCTAAAATCCTTTATTTAAGACTAAAATAAATTATATATATACCATTTATATTAACATTAAAACATCAAGAATAAATATATTGATTTTATCATTCGCTATCTTTTATTAATATTTCGATTTTTTCAGCTATCGCAAGGAACGAGTAAGGTGCAAAAATGCATAAACATGGGGTTAGACTATACCGATACAAACACTTTAATTCCGTAATAAAATATGTAAATCGCTAACTTCGTGGGTAAAAAACACTTTGTTTATCATTACTTTTATAAAATTTCGTATTACCATTCACGGAAGCGTGTACTGTACGTACGTAAGTACAAACTATTCCAGAATACATAGAAAGAAAATTAGGACCGAAATTAATAATTATGTTACGTAACATATTGATATTTAATCTTAATCTCATAAATTACTCACCATATTACAATTTAAAATTAAGAAATTTTAAAATCAGTTGCCAACTAGACCAAAACGAGGTGTTAAATAAAAATGATATAGTGGGCTGAGGGTTTAGTTTTAACTAAGCGTTCAAAAGTTATATAGAACTATGCTTTAATCTTATAACTGATCTGAAAACTGCCAAAGGAACAAACCTGACTTCGAGCTTTGACATTTCTAACTTCTGAAGTATCAGATAAAGTGACACATAATACGTAATTAAGATGCGAGTATGTACGTACATAATTGCTGCTTTAAAATTAACTTTTGGCAATGCACAGCTGCGGCAATGCAACCGCTGTAAGTTAATTTTGACGTCAACTATAGCTATTCTTAACCATAAAATGTCTTCACTTTTACCTCTTTTTGCTCTCATTCTTGAAGTTCAACAAATTAAGTATTGTATTGAATGATTAAAATCTTTATTAAAAAGCATATTTAATTTATTAAATCAGATACGTACAGTAATTCATTTTAACAGTCTATCTCAGTTTGGATGGTTAAAAAACTAAAACTAATGGCCCCGTCAGAGCTGAGACTAAATGGCTAGAGACAGTTCTCAATTTTGGTAATTTACCGTAGAAAATTTCATTAATAATTTTAAAAGTATCAACATTTAAAATTCCAGGATCGCTGATTATTAAGAAAGCTATTGTATACGATAATTTGAAATTTTGTTAAAGATTAACTATAGTTGATAGAATACAATGACTTTATCAATAATCGTCAGTCCAAATCAATTCAATTTTGATATTGTAAAGGGATATTCTCGGCAAAACAAAATTTGCGCCCATTCGGATCACCGATTTTTGAAAACAAAAAAAAAACGAAAATCGATGGAAGTATTTTTTTTTTTTTATTGCAAGTATAATATCCTGCAAGCAAATCTATCGAGGAAATGCATTGAAAATCTACAGATGAAATAGACAAAACCATTGCAGTAAAAAAAAAAAAAAGACTAATTTATTCTATTTGTAATAAATTTATTGTAATATAAACCCGAGATTATTATATTTATAAGTAAAAGGCTTTGCTATATAAATGTCGATTGATTACTAAATAGTATCGAGTGTATGAATTTGTCTAAAACTAGAATTTGATTGTCCGTGGCTTTTTGTGTATATACAATCGTTTAGATAATAAAGATGAACAAATAATAATTGATGACTAAGAACTTGACAATGAAAAGAACGTGTTTCATATAAAAAATTAGTTGTTCAATAAAATTTTTAATTAAAATATCTTTTTAAGAACTTAATGTTTGTTTCCGAATAAAAAGTCAAGATAGTTGATTAAATAAACAAAGTGTTTGAGTAACCTTACGTCAATAAACCATTTCTATAAACCCAAATATATAGCTATAATACTACAGTATTAACAGATCGAATTTATTATATAATTTCACAATTTATTAAGATTCTTTTTTTTTTATTTGAAAAAAAATTTGGCTATATTATTATATAAATTTTGAAGTAAAAAACTTATCAACTATACGAGAACATTCGAATTACGTTCCATTTGTTCATTGTTAGTGCTTACATGAACTTAATCTTGTGTAAAAAGTAATTAATCGTACGTATCAAACAATATTTAGCATTAGTACGTACTGTACAGTACGTACAGTACGTTAACGCCCGAAATATGTATGCATGCAGTGTGACAGTAACCAAACGGCTATCAATATATAAGACATTAATTAGTTCATGTAGTCTATTTATGACTACTTTACTTTCGCTTTTCTGGTATCAGCAAAATCCTTCTGTCCCTCCTCTGTCACTTTTTAAATTTGACTTTATCTTTGTTGACGTCACGAAACAATTTGAAATAGTTTAATATACATCATTCTCATCGTTTCGAATGTATGCTATCGGTTTCACCAACCTTGTTTTGTGTTTTAAAAAAAAACTTTAAATCGTTTTAATATTAAAGAAAATTTGTTTTTTTTTATCAAAAAAAAAAAATATATATTAAAACAGAAAACAATATTTATCAAAATAATTTTTTTTTTATCGAGTAAGTTTACTATTGTATTACTACGCATATATTATTTATTAAAGTCAATTTTACAAATTTTATCCTTTTTTTTTTTTTCCTTTATTTATAGCATAAAAACACGAAATATTTTGATACAAACAGTAATAGTGATTAAATACCGGCTATTTCAAGTGAGTTTTTTTGAATTGTTTTGACTCTAATCTTTGATAAATGCACAATAATAGTTATTTACATCTAATGATCTACACAATATGATGATTATAGTCACGAGATATTTATTAAAGTCGACAATTGTAAAAAATAATCATAAGTGAGTCACATCAGTCAAAAAATATTTAAAATTTTTTAAGTTCTTTTTTTTTCTGATATCTTTGTTCAATATTTGTAGGTTAGGTGGTATAAACTTGCATCTGCACTTAAAGTGCACGTAGGGAATTCAAGTATAAATACCTAAAAAAAAAAAAAAAAGACGCGCATACACCATCTAGAATAAAAGATATCGATATATTAGCAATGTCACGTGGGGACTCTGGATATTATTGCTCTGTAAATAGTCCCAAATCAGAAACTGATGACAAAGATAGCTACGATGATTTAGATGATACCAGCAAGGATAACGAAGCCTATATGATCATGCGAAGTTCAATGCCATATATGCCTAATGATCAAAAAAATGATGCGGTTGGTAATAATCGACATACATTTCACACGATACCAACTTATAGTACTATGGGAAATGATCCTGTACCGCCTTTACCAACAACAAATCATCCACTCTTTCCTTCATTGCAACAATCACCTTCATGCGATATTAATCAATCAGAAATGTACGATCAACAAAGATTACAAAATAATTCACCGGTACTTAATATTCCAAAGTCTGATTCAATTGATTCAATTAAAGATGAAGAACAATTTGTTAAAGCTGTTCGAAAAAAAGCTTCTTTACAATCTTTACAAAACAATAATCATCATACATCGGCATCTTCTATGTCAAGAGCGAAATTATTACGTAATAGACAAATGACACTTATTGGTATTCCATTACCAGAACCTTCACCTTCTTTATTATCTCCAGGAACTATCAGTATTCATAATTTAGTTGATAGTTATTGTGATGAGGATGAAGAACCAGGTCCAACTCCTGAAGGTAATTTAAAATTCATTTATAGTATATATTAACAGTAAATAATCAAATAATAAATAAATTTATTTATACGTTTAATAAAATTTACATAGAGATTGCAGCGAGAAATCGTAAACGAGAAGCCGCTGTTTCAGAAATTCTTACTACAGAAAGAAAATATGTCGATGGTTTAGAAAAACTTGTTAATATTTTCTTATTGCCTTTACGAGAAATTTGTCAAAGAACAAGTCAAAAAAATGGATTATTATCTATTAAACCTATTGCTAGTTTGGAAGATGTTACTGCGTTGTTTGGTAATATTGAGCAATTATTAATTTTACACAAGTCATTGCTTAAATCTCTGGAAGATAGATATCGAACATGGAGTCCTTCTGAAAAAATTAGTGATATATTTTTAAAAATTGTAAGTTTATAAGTTTTGACATGAAAAAATTGGTAAACAATTGACGTATTAAATATTTAATTTTTAAATTTTAGGCTCCATTTTTAAAGATGTACATAATTTATCTGAAAAGTTTTCCACGAGCAATAGCAACCATGGAACGACTTAATAAAAGCAGTAAAGAATTCAAGAAATTTTTACTGGTATTTATTAATTATCTTACTTATCAAATATTTTAAATATTTAACAAAATTTTATAATATTTATCATTAATGATTTTTCTAAAAAATTTTATAGTCATGTCAGTCAAAGCAAGAATTAGGAGGATTACCATTTAATTCATTTTTGAGTTTGCCAATTCAACGAATTCCACGATACAAATTATTATTAGAAGCTTTACTAAAGCACACAGATGAATCACATCCAGATTTTATAGACCTCCAAAAATGCGTTCGACAAATTAATATAATAGCAGATGAAGTTAATGAAAAGTATGTTATTTAATTCATATATTATATATTTAATAAATTCTATGATAGGAATTACTATAAGAATTAATAATCAAAAAATTATTGAATAATACATTAATAACAATCATTCAATTTTTTTTTTTTTTTTGATAGAATGAGAGATGCCGAAAATCAACAAAAAGTATTAGAGATCCAAGTTAAAGTAGAGAATATACCAGACATAATAAACCCTGCGCGACGATTCATACATAGTGGCGAACTTTACAAAGTTAAACCTCTGTTCAAATCAACAAAGCCTTATTTTGCATCTACCCAAGAAACGCGAATGCATTTTTTATTTAATGATCTGTTATTATTTTGTTCGAATCCTCAAGGAGGAAAACTTGTGTATAAAGGTCAATTGGATTTAAATAATTGTTCGCTTATAGATATTGAAGATGACGCGTCAGATATGCCATTTTGTTTTCAATTACTTACAAAAACGGCAAGAGGTGACTTAAGACACACCGTTCGTACAAATACTATCGATGAAAAAATTGAATGGATGGAAAAAATTGACTATGCGATATCGGCATTGCAAAATGGAATAAGGATATCTTATAATGTTAATGGAAAACGTATGTTAATTCTATTTAAACGCGAAAAACTAGAATTTATAATTAATTAAAATACTAAGATTATTCTTATCACAATATCTTTTATTTTATTAGGTCTTATTCCAATTCGTCAACCACCAACACCCGACAAAACAT